GATGGAAGCAGATGAGTAAACTAGATGAAAGAAATGGAGATGAGAGGTATGGGGGCCTTATGGCAGTCTGAAGGACACAGGCTGCTCAGTGACCACAGGAACATTTACCTCTTCTCTTCAGTGAAGCCTCATTAAGCGCTCTGCCCTCATCACTGTCTGCCAACATTATGATGTCTAATAGGCTTGATTGGTCTTAATTGGCCCTGATAAACATTGAGTGGCTGTTGACTGAATCTGATAGCATCCGCTGTGGATTGGTAATGAATTGACTGAATTGCATCTTTTTTTAGAGGCAAGGATGCCTGAATGGAAATCTTAAATAAATAATTTGTATCCCTGTGAACTGTGCAGTTTGACTGTTTATAAAGCAAAATGTAATAAAAGCATTTTGTTAATGATTTGATTTTTTTTTTACAGGAAACAGCACATATGCTATACATTTTAATAAAACAAGCATCATTCAATTAAAGTAGTGATCATTACTTGCAAAGAGCGTAATATGGAACCATTCCTCTTATTCCGACATATAAACATTTTCAAACAGGTCAAATCTGACCCAAGGACAACAGGAAGGTTAAGCCTGCACCTGCACCCAGTGTTATAACACAAGAGAAGTTATTTCTCTATATAAAACATGTGCATCTGTGTACACACATGAACAAGAACAACTCCCGGTATAGAGACTGCCATTTCTACTGGCTGTTAGAGCGGTGGCAGTGTTCCTACAGAATGATGCATGGTGTATTATGACGAGAGATTCGCCCATGCACACACTGAATGAAAGTGCCAAGCGAGGACATCACAATAGCCGCAATTCATTTCCCAGGGAGTCCAGCACAATGGACTAGCAGAAGGGGATCTATCTAAAGCGCTGCATTACCCGCATGGCCCATTACTCCTTTGTAATGGCTGCATGTACCTGTGCCCTTACATTACGCCTTTGTATTAGCATGAGCAGTGCTTTGTGTGCGCGTGTTTGCTCACCTGCGTCACATGCATGACCTTATAGCATCTTCCCAGTGCACATGTGTACACTCTTCACCACAGAATTTCAGATTGAATGTATTGATTTACTGCTGTTTGTTTACTGATACATCAAGCCACACTGGGACATCCAATAATACACAGCGAGGATCATACTATCCATCACGTGAGTGCTTCAGCGTGCGTCAGCTTGTGTTCCTCCCTAATTGGCTGCTAAGCCTCTTAAGTAGCTGCCACTACTCAAGTGGTGTATGCTGGCCTGGAAAAACAACATAAAAACAGCACAGAGTCCGACATCACAGGCACACACACACAATCATACACACACTCTGAAAACCGTCAGACATGAAAAGACAGAGATCAATAATCTGTGTTTCTGTATTTCTTTTCTAGGATCAAATGTAAATCAGGGATCTGGTTAAAATACATACTTTTACAATTTTGTGAATTAAAAATAATATTTAAGGCCCGAGCGAATGACATATCGGAATCCTTCAAATTATTATGATTATAACGTACATGAAATGTAAAAGGGTTTTTGAGGGCCTAAACGTGCTAAAAAGCTGGATATCTTTGGCACTCTTTCAGGATTGGTTAGGGGTCTAGTTCTTGAGTGTGGGCAAAAAGTCTCTATAACACCCCCTGGAAAGTTGCTAAAAGGCAGTGGTTTCACCTACAAGTCTGAAACTGGGTAGATATACACTGACAAAACTGAACGTCGACTTTGATTAGATGTATTGTGTCCAGAGATTTCACATAACTGCATCAGTTTAGTTGAAAACAATTAAATTTAATATTATTGCTTACAACTAAACTAATACAGTTATATGACATATGTTGACATGACAAATGTAATAAAAGTCAACGTTTCAGTTTTTTCAGTGTATGTAGCATGGTGAGATGCACTAAAAAGGTTCTTGGCTAAGGCACTAAGGTCTTTGCACTGTAAATCACACTTGAATGACTTGAGGGCCGACTGTATTGTGAGTTGCTGCCTCTGTGTTTCTGCACACGTCTGTTGTCAGGTCTGTAGTGTGAGGAGCATGCTAGGCTGCAGTCAGACAGGAGGGGTCATGAAGGAGTGGCTGTGACTGGCAGACAGTGAGACGCTCAGCGGGGGGGGCGCTGCTCTGGCTTGATAAGAGCCACAGTGGCATAAGCCTCATCTAGCAGCGCCTGATCAAAATGAGCCCCCAGCCGGGAGGCCACAATCACACAGGCAAATCCTCCATCACATGCACACGCTCATACTCACATATACATTATGTGTGTCACTGCAGCAGTATGTAGACTGTCAAACCTATGTTTTTAGGATCTCTCTCTTTGGGATGCTATGGACATTTAAATCATGTATTAGATGCTCATGGTTTATTAATTGCTCTTTCAAACTGGAGAGGGATGTGTTCTTCTTGGAAAATAGACAAAGACATTTGGAAGAAAGCAAACATGAAAATGAACAAGCAACTCTGCAAAGAAAGTTGATTTATACATCATGTACTGTATATCCCAATAAAATGACATGAAGTCCTTTTTTTGCTTGTTTTTATCTGTAGGTGGTTCAAATGTATGTAATAAATGTATGTGTGAGCTAAAATCATTTAGAAATATCAGTGGTTATCAAAACATGGCAAATATACATTTATTAAGAACAAATGGAAGTACATAGACCTACATATTGTAAGCTGAGTAACACAATAAAAAAGAGAAGTCATCAGATATACTGTATGGGGGGGAACAGACAATGATAACCCATTCTTCCTTCCACCCCCTTCTCCTCCACCCCTCCACCCTCTTTTCCACATGGCAGCTACTGTCTGCATGCAGAATTCAGGGCTTAATGGAGGGGAGCTAAGTCCTTGGCCACACAGCGGATAAATGCTGTACTTGCTCTAAGAGATGCAGTGGCTGTGTTTGTTGCTTTTGTGGGATTCATTCAGGCAGAAAGCACAGAGCAAACACCGTGACGGAATCTAGCTGGTGGCCTGCCTGTCACAGCTGCCTCAGCTCCCCTCCCCTGACCTCTCTGCTCCAGTGTAACTATTCACTTTAACGGGACCAGCAGCACTGTACATGATCAGCCAGAGCCTCCAAAAGGACAGTGATGAAAGCAGGCATGACTAATAAACATTTTTGGAAAGCCGACTATAAGAATACACTACACGCGTAACCAGGGTTTGGAGGTTACTTTAAAAATACATTCTCTTTCCATTACTAATTACCTGTTAAAAAAACGTAACCTAATTTAAGTATCACAAAATAAACTGTTTTTGTTTTTGTCTAAATTATAAAGTGTCTGCCTTCTGCTTAAAAAAAAGAATGAAAGTAACAAAAATGGCATAGTTTATGAAGCATTTATCATTTAATGCTTCTTCAAATTAGAAGATTAGTTAATCCTTGAATAATGACACTATATTAACAGTTTGAAGGCACTGCTTGCACTGAACTGTATTTGTTCCTATTCCTCCTTTAAACACAAACTGATGGCAACATTTCAACCAGGTGAAACATTATTTGCACTAGAGATGATGAACTGGAAGATTAGATATGGTCTCACTTGAGACTCGTTTCACTTGAAACTTGTGAAGTATTGTAATGTATGCGTATTTACCACGTAAGATATTGTACACTTTTTTTAAATGTATTGTAACATTGTAATCCTGATAGTAATCTAATTTGAAATTGTACCAGTTATCTGATTATGTGTTTTTTGGTGTTCTGATTATGTAACCCGTTACTCTTCGAGCCTGTACATAACCCCAAATAAAAAGCGTAATGCAGACGTCACTTTAGAAGCAAGTTTTAAATTGGCATTCTAGGTTCTAGGTTTTAAGATGTGTTTTCCAATGAGACTTACTTTTGACATTGAGATACATGGACTTGCTGACATCAGCTCCAACGTCGTTGCTGACTCTACACAGGTAGAAGCCGCTGTCTTCTTCCAGAACATGCTTGATGAACAGAGAGCCGTTGACCAGCACTTCAATGCGAAAGCCTGAGTTCAGGGCAATGGATCTGAACTGAGGGACCCCGGCGCCTGTGGAGAGCGGACAGAGGGATCAGGATTAGAACAAAAACAGGAAAACATGCAAGGCCGACACAAGTCGTTATTCTTCTTCCTTATCACAATCACTTAAATGTAAACCCTTCTACAATATGTTTGCACTCGAAGGGGGATGCATCAGTGTCTTTGACCTTTCAGATATGCCAACACACATAAAATAGATAAAATAAGCATGGGGAAAATACTTTGTGAGGGTTTATTGAAGAACAACAATGATATCATGCATCTGCTGAAGAAGTTCCAATGTTATCCATCAAATCCTCCGTCAATGCTACTCAAATAACCATAAAAGACAAATATTTTAATTGAAATACGTCTTGCTGACAAACTTGTAATCTTTATATTTACGGTATATTTGATTACAATGTATTCATTAGTGGAGATTCTTTTTGGTTGGTTGAGGGGGGGTAACTGATGTCAGGCTGTATTTAGACACAGTGGTGCTATGAGATAAATGCTTATGTAAGCATACTAAAATGCATACATGCTGATGGTAGCTAAGCAGGTATCATCTTGGATGCTATCTTTTGTTTTTAGCATTTTAGCATGCCAAAAAGATGTATTAGCAGTTAGCACAAAAAAAGACTGAGAGGATGGTTATATGTTTATTCGTTTTTCATAATTAACTAAAGCATGGAACAACTTGAAATTTTGACATAGTGATTGTGCCAGATAAAACAACTGGATAAAAATACATCCTGTGGATAACATTAATATTTGTTTCAATCAAAAATGTGAACATCATGATCGCACTAGAGGAAAAGTCAGGGTCACCAAAGTCATCAAAGTTCAGATACAGATTAAAGTTGCACACATAATCAGTAAGCAATGTCATAATTGACCAAATTTGAAGCAATGGATATTCATTCTTTTAAAACACTTCCTTTTTGTTGAAAGAAAACCCTGTTATTGTGTTCAGTCAGGATGGGATCATGTAAATCTAGGGGGTATATAATCTTCCTACTTCTAGAGGAATTAAAGATTCTTCCCATAACTGCCGAGTTTATTTTTCTTATTTCACAGTGCTTGTTTGGACTAGGTTTTATTATGCATTCAACCTCAAGGCTGTGGGCATTATATTTGTCATGTTAGCATTAAAAAAAAATCTTAACATACAATTCAGCTTGGTTTTCAAAAGGTAAATCCAGGTAAACTTAAAAAAACGGTTAAACACGTTCACCAAACCCTGAGTGAAAAGTTGTGTGTTACTGCAGTATTTAATGTGTGTGTGTATGCTATGGGTTTACCTTTCGAGTATTCCCATTGGATGGTAGGAACAGGATATCCTTCAGCAGAGCAGTTTAGGATCACTGCTTTTCCATAGATGCCATCCTGGTCCTTAGGTTGCACCACAAATTTGGGAGGAACTGCAAGACAAGAAGCCATTATATTACTCCCATTCATCTGGACACCAAATATAGTGTCTATGTCTACTGATCAAAAACAGCTGAATTTGAAAGCAATTTCTTAGGGTCTTTCCATTTCTTCGTATCACAACTTTCTGTTGACTGCCCCCTCCTTACCTCGGACAATGAGCTGGCTCTGGTGCTCTACGGCGGCGGCCTGGTTGCGTGCAATGCAGGTGTAGTTCCCATTGTGCATCAGTGTAAGGTTGGAGACTCGCAGGGAGCTGGTGAAGTCTATGTTGTCTATGGTGACACCCAGGCTGGCCGGGATTGGCCGACCATCCTTCTGCCAGGTGATGAAGACGGGCTGGTCGCCGGACATGACCACGCAAGGGATGAAGACTCGCTGGCCGATAGAAAACCGAGGGAACTCAAATGGGTGGATGGTAGGTGGAACTGGGGAGGAGACATTCAAAGTTATTTTCACATCAGACCTGTGGGTAATACATGCCTTTGATTAAGGTCAAACAAAAGCAAATGCTTTTTGGGGTAGCAGCTTGAGAAACAAAGGTCGCCTGTTCAAGACCCAGAATGGACTAAGTACAGAGTGTGGACTGGCACTTGGAAAGGTATCAGTTCGCCTCGTGGGCACTGCAGCGGTGTACTTAAGCAAGGCACTGGCCCCCCATACAGCTAACTGGGAGCTGTATAGTAGCCAAACACTGCTCCTAATACTAGGATTTTAAATGCAAAGACTAAAGGAGTGTGTGCGGTGCTGTGTAACTGTGTGACGATTAAAAGAGGAATTTATTCAAATCCTCCATTTCCATTTGTATACATGCATTATTCCCTCCTTATCACCTCTCTCCCATCAAACGTAATTACCTATTGCCACGTATAGCGGCTGAATTCTCACTCAAACAACATTCATATTACACTCTCTCACTGTCTTTTGCTCTCTGGGGACACTGTAGCGATCATGAGAACCAGATGCTTTGGAAAATTTAAATGATTTAAAATAAAATTGGAATAAGCTGCACTTCAGCGCTTATTTAATTCACAACAAAATAGGCATAATAGGCTCGTGGGGATTCCCTCTCGGCAGCGATGGAATGCTAAGCAGCCGAGAGGCAAATTAGCCGAGGCGGAATGGCGGCATGGCTTTGCCTACGCTGTGTGATTTCCCCCTCGCACACTTGTTAGCACTTGTTAGCACTGCCGGTGAGAAAAACGGAAGGGGGGTTGCCCATCCGACATTTCAAATTATGCAGCGTCATTGAAGAAAGAAAGCCATCTGAGGTTATCATCATACGGCTCAGCTCAGCGCCACTGCATATTCAGATGAGCCCCAGATAAGCTGCTGGGAGGATGGAGACGCTGCTTTGCTGTCAGAGATGTCTCTGCCTATCTGTGTTTTCTGTGACAGGGAAAGATAGACGCTAAGGTGATGCTTTAATGTATCTTTAAATGTGATACATTTAAGCATGCATGCCCGCTGGTCAGTGTGGAGACTGATGAAGTGTTCGCATCCACCAACCAACAGATCAATGATGAAGTACCCAGGAATGAACTCTAGGAATCCCTTGGTATGATACAGTGTGTGTGTACCGTATTTTCCGGACTATAAGTCGCACTTTTTTTCCTAGTTTGGCTGGTCCTGCGACTTATAGTCAGGAGCGACGTATATATGTTTTAAATGTCAATTCATGCTGACTGACATGAACCGTCTACAGCCACCAGAGGGCGCTCTAGGCTTGTGACAACTATATGCTGCTCCTGTACCACTGAAAAAAACGAAGAAGAGAGCGGACGGTTCTTCCGGGTTAGCTGCTTGTTAGCCATCTGTTGTTAGCCGTCTTGTTAGCTTGTTAGCCGTCTGTTGTTAGCCCGCCGTCTTGTGTCCGGTGCGGCGCAGGGTCCACCCCTACCAGCCCAGCGGCCGAATGCTCAGTGGGTGCGTCCGAGATGCCCCGTCTGTCCCAGCAGTCCTCCGTCGGAGCGCGTCAAGGGGTAGAAGCATGCCACCCTAGCCCGACTCGCAGAGCCAGCCTCCAGGTAGAAGGTATGTGTTGCGTTAACATACCGGACCTGTGTAGTTAATAACTTCCCTTTCCAGTTTACCGTAAATGTCTGTTATTGGCTTGGATTTGAAAATAAATATCTGAATAAATACGACTTATAGTCCGGTGCGACCTATATACGTTTTTTTCCTCTTCACGACGCATTTATTGGACATCGCATGTTCGAGGTCTGACAGTGCTCCCTACTTCCAATCTCAGTCTCACGACCAAATGCAGAAGCGTTAGAGCACTCTCCCTTCGTCGGTGAACGCAAACTTTGCTTCAACTGTTAATTGAGCAGTGTCGCGGTAACCTTATTAACCTAACCTAACTCTTCAGTAGTAAACCAATGTTTGTGTGTGTGTGGTGTGTGTGTGTGTGTGTGTGTTGGTATGTTATGTAGTGTTGTGTGTGTGTGTGTGTGTGGTGTGTTGTGACAGATCGACCTCGGAGCGGGTACGTACCTTTGAAGTAGAAAGAGTCGTGAGTGAGTGTTAGAATACCTTACTTCTGTGTATGTGTGTATGTGTGTGTGTGTGTGTGGTGTGTGTGTGTGTTGTGTGTGTGTTGTGTGTTGTTGTGTGTGTGTGCTGTGTGTGTGTGTTGTGTGTGTCTCTGTGTGTGTGTGGTTGTGTGTGTGTCTGTGTGTGTGCGCGCGCTGTGGTGGCTGGTTGTGTTCGTCTATATATATACTATTTTCCACAATGTTTGGATTAAGTCAGTCACACTTTACAAGACAAGTGAAGTAGGTAGTGTGGGTCGAAGAAGTAAGTATAATGGTGTGAAATGTATGAGTGAAATCTGACTACAGAAGAATTAATCAAACACGCTGGTAACCGTATGTTGTTCTGTGTACGTCGTCGACACAGGGTTACGTCCTCGTTACGTTCTGGTTAATTTCAAAGAGGCAGAAAGTAGCTCATGTCGTGAAATCATTTACTGAAGTCTTCTATAAATTCATTTTTGTGTTGGTCCTGTTGTTAAGATGGAGTTTCAAATAAATTCATTTTTTTATGTTTTCATAAACATAACCCTTATTCATAATTTCACTCTTTACCTTTGTGTCCAATGTTTCGAATTGTAGAATTCCTCTTAACACTCTACCACACAGAGTCAGCGGTGACGACTCAAGTAACGATAAGTCTTCGGACTTATATCACGAAATATTGTACCGACGTGTGTGTGCGTGTCGTGCGTGCGTGCGTGCGTGCGTGCGTGCGTGCGTTGTGGTGTGTGTGTGTGTGTGTGTTTGTGTGTGTGCTGCGTACGTGTGTTGGTGTGTGTGTGCGGTGGTGTGTTTACGTGTTTGGTGCAAGTCCCGACTCCGTTCAAAATAAGAGGAAAAGACACCCTTTACTACCTAATCATACGAGAGACGATTTCTATGTTGTGACACACACAACACACACCACACACACACACACACACACACACACACACACACACACACACACACACACACACACACACAACACACACACACACACACACACACACACACACACACACACACACAACACACACAACACCACTACTACACACACACACACACACACACGCGCGATGTACATTCCACAATTTAGGGTGTAAACGAATTTCAGAAGACTTCCACACTGTCTATAGATAATAAGGAAGTCAAGTAGAGGAGACGTCGTCATTCGACAAAGTAGCATCGCACAGTAAATTGTAAATTACGACGCAGACTTAACCGAAAGTCTCAACTGCGAGTGATTCGTCCTTTACGAGAGCCCGACTTATAGCACCTGATTAACTAGTGTAATATACGATAATTCGTTATTAGGTAGAAGAGGGATAAGTTTTGCCTACTTAAAATTTAGCTGCCTGACAATTTGCGACGGAGAGGAGTCCAACTCTTTTAACTTGAGGGTTTCTCAACTAATATTTTGATTAATCACATTCGAAGGACACCGTTTATATTAATTTCCAATCTTCAAGAATACCTATAGTTTGTTTAGTGTATAGTTTAGTCGTATTATCTGAAACGTTTTGACTTATTAATTTAAACTCAGAGTTTGAAGCCGCTATATGGTGAAAACCCCCCAAAAGGAAAGGGGGGGGGGACACGACACTAATAATCTCCACCAAACAGCGCACAAGTAACAGTCTGTTCTCCGTCTTTGCTACAGACTGAAGAGGGAGTCACCTGTGTGAGAGTTATGACCCGCCAGGGCTTTGTAGGACGTATACCCTTGAGTGACCGCCGCTCACGAACTGTATGGTTATTGACGTGTAAACATGTATGCGCGTACGTGACACTTAAACGAATTCGACATAATAAATATACCTGTATACGACAGGAACAATAAATGACAACTCCACTGATATATAAAGTGGCATAAAAGGGCCCTGATATTCAGCGAGGACTCATATTCAGCGCAGTCCGGTATTTACGCAGCACCTTCCTA